AAATCAGATGGTGCAGAAAGCTTGACAGGTGCCAATGGACTGATCCTAGGCATCATGTTGCCTATCCCTATCTTAGGATCTTCAGCAAAGCTGCAAAAGCTCATTAAGTATTTTTATGGCCATATAATTTAATTGTGACATCATGTCAAAAACAGATCATGCCAGACAAATCTAATTGCATTAGTGAGAAAATTAGTGGACCAACAAAATGCAATGGATATAAGACATTTGATAAAGTAGACCACAACCTACTACTTAATAAACAGAAAAAGGTGGGTTAGACAGCATCACCACCAGATGGATTTGTAACTGGCTGACAAATCACACTCAACAAGTATGCAACGGGATACCCCAATGTTTTGTCTTAGGCCCAGTACTATTCAACATCTTCATCAATGATTTAGACAAGGGGATAGAAGGGGAACCTATCACATTTGCAGCCAACACCAAGCTGGAAACACTTCAGAAGATAGGTTCAAGATCCAGAAGGATCTTGACAGACTTAAACACTGGGCTCTAGCTAACAAAATGAAATTCAATGGTGAAAAAAATGAGGTTTTACATTTAGGCAAGAAAAACAAATTGCACAGATACAGAATAGGTGATACCTGGCTCAATAGTAGTAACTGTGAAAGGGATCTTGGAGTCCTAATAGACAATCACTTAAATATAAGCCAGTAGTGTGCTGCAGCTGCCAAAAAAGCAACACATTCTTAGGCTGCGTTAACAGATGGATAGAATCAAGGAGTGTTAATACCACTTTATAATGCCTTAGTATTATTGCATCCAGTTTTGGTCGCCACAATATAAAAAAGATGTTGAAACTCTAGAAAGAGTGCAGAGAAGAGCAATACAGATGATTAGGATACTGGAAGCTAAAACATACAAAGAACATTTGCAGGAATTGGGTATGTCCAGTTTAATGAAAAGAAGGACTAGAAGTGACATGATAGCAGTGTTCTAATATCTAAGGGGCTGTCACAAAGAGGAGGGTCAACTTATTCTGCAAACCATTTGAAGGCAGTACAAGAAGAAATGGATGGAAACTAATCAAAGAGAGAACCAACCTAGAACTAAGGAGAAATTTCCTAACAGAACATTAATTGTTCTAATTTATGACTTGCCTCCAGAAATTGTTATGCTCCAACACTGGAGGTTTTTAAGAAATTGGATACCATTTGTCTGAAATAGTATAGTTTCCTGTTTGAGCAGGGGATTGGACTAGAAGACCTCCAAATTCCCTTCCAACCGTTAATCTTTTATTTAATATTTCAAGTGCACTTGCATTTCATTCTTAAATATCCAGAAACTGTGAGGAAAATCACAATGACAGGTTATTTTTATTCAGATTCTATTCCTGGGCTATAATCTTTTTTTTCCTAATCATCTACAAACATTCAGACTTTATACGATAAATTAAATTTGCCTAATGAATATATATTTAGAAAGCAGAGTAAAACAATTTCCATGTCTTTTTTTATCCAAATAAATTCATTAACATATCTGTTCACTTCTTAACAAAGTTTTGATATAAACTTTGCCTTTTTTCATCCCAATCAGCTTGTAAATTTCAGAATCCCAGTGGTTTTTATGCTGGGTTATACTTCTTATTATAAAATTGATAAGCTTCCTATTTTTACAGGTTTCCTCCCCACGCCCTCCAATAATGCAGCATGTGTCAGTACAATACACATTCAGTTATTATTTGAACTGATGCAAGTACAGATTAAAGTTTAGGTATCCTGTTTTGTTTTGTTTTCTTCTCTTTGACAATGTATTTATCTTGATCATTATTATTTTTGTGTTTGTGCTTTGCTTCTTTATTCTTTTTTGTTATTGATCAAAAAGCAGTAAAATAAATAGCTAAATAAAAAAGAGATTAACAATAGAATATAATGCTTTTTAAGTTTCACATTAGATTATTGAATTCTTTGTGTGGAAAAAATGCAGTTGGGGTAGAAGGAAAATCCAGAAATTATGAAAAGTATATCACTACTAATTAGACAAACTAGCAAAAGTTTAATAATACAGGCATTTATAAGAATGTGGGCAAATAGCTTCTGACTAATCTAAATAGTTTTCTAAGAAAAGGTCAACTATGTACAGACACATAGTCTGTATATAGTCTGCACATAGTCTGTACAGACACCTAGAGAAATAACCATGTTTTGCTGCTCTTACCACCACAAGGTAAGCTCTAATAGTCAATTGTCTTTAGTCCCTGTCATTCACCAGTAGCACTCTAGGATCTTTTATCCCTCTTTAACTCCTTCAGCTACTCTATACCATGGGCATGTCAGGAACCACAGTCACAAAGAGGCAGCTCAGGAGTGAACTGTTCCAAGGGCACGGCCACTCTCCCATATGATGTGCCCACCAAGGCTTCAGTTGGACCATGTTGGACTTCACCAAACAACCACCAGCTCCCTCTGAAAGACAACTGGATCCACTTGTCTCCTGGGGTAAGCCCAACCGCTCTGCTGAGGAGCTGGCACCAGAGAATTGGCAACTCATCAAATATACAATGGTGACCTGCTTTAAAAAACTTTACATTCAAAAGGTATTTTATAAATATTGCAAATAAATAAATAAATAAATTGACTCTTCAATTTGGACACTTGAGACCCTCAACTAGCCAAGATTTCTACTGACTGGACAATATGAACTTGTTAACATTAATGCCAGTACATAGGTGGAAAGCATCCCCTAATAATTTTGTTTTGCTTTAGTGGTTATCTAAATAGGGTTTTTGTTAAATGAAAGTTATTTTGAGATTTCCTTCTTGCCAGGTGGTTGAAAGGAATGTTAAACGTTCCATGTAACAAAGGATAGAAACTTAATGAACCTTCCTTTGCACTATGACATTAATTTCAGAACATTGTTAGAATGTTTTGCAAATCCACATGGAAGCAATATGCTTTTTATTTTATTTTTTGAGAATTTGTTTGATTTTTTTAATACAATCAAAAGTATTTATTCAACAAACGTGTTGTGAGTTTATCATTCACTAATACAAATTGAATTCCTAATCCCTTATTTTCTCCAGCCATTGATAAAATAAGTCCCAAGTTTGAAAATATTCTGTTTCTTCTTTTTCTTTCAACCTCAGAGTATGTCTGTCCATTTCCGCACAATTTAGCATTTTTTTTAAATTATTTCTTCCTCTGGTGGTATTTCTTCATTTTTCCAATATTGTGTGAATATGATTCTTGCCGCTGTTGTCACATATAAAATCAAGTATATACTTTGTTTGTTAAGGTTTTCTGGCATTATACCTAATAAAAAAAGTTCAGGTTTAAAATCTACATGTTTTCCCAACATTTTTCTAGCCAAGTATGTATTTTTGTACAATATCTCTTTGCTTTAACACATATCCACAGTATATGGTAATAAGTACCTGACTTGTGATTACATTTCCAACATCTATCTGGCATATTTTTAAACATTTTTGCTAGTCTTGCTGTGGCAAGTGCCATCTATAAAACATTTTATGTAAGTTTTCCTTGTAAGAGGTTGACATTGTCAATTTATAATTTATTTCCCACAAGTTTTGCCATTTCTCTAAGTCTGTATTGTATTCAAAATTCTTTGCCCATGTTATCGTTGTTTCTTTTACTTGTTCATTTTCCATTTTCAAATTTAATAAAAAGTACACATTTTCTTAATTTCTCATCAGAGGTTAATAATATGTGATCAAACAAGGTCTGCTCTTTATAAAATCCGTACAATTTAAAATCTTTATCATATCTCACTTGCATTTGTAAATATGCCCACCATGATAGATCAATACCCTGATTTTCCATCTCTTGTTTAGATTGTAAATTCCCTTCAGAGTTTAGAATATATGTCCATATTTTCTCAAGACTGACTAAATTTGGATATACAAATGCTTCCATTATTGAAAGCCATCCTGGAATTTTCAAGTATATATTACATTTTATTTTTTCCCATGTTAGTAATAATGCATTTCTAATATAGTGGTTTTGAAAATATTTACGAATTTCATTTTCCCCATACCATAGGAAAGCGTGCCAACCGAGTTGTAAGTCATGTCCCTCCAAATACAACAACCTTTTATTTCTAAGAGTTGTCCATTCTTTTACCCATGTTAGTACTGATACTATGCTATTTCTAGCAAGCATACTGTAATTGACAGCTCACTGTGGACTGAAGTCTATCTATAAGTTTTAGTGTTTATCTGTGTTTGTCATGGAGCCTGATTTATTTGTAACCTAAATTATGTGGTTAGGCCTTTGAGAAACAGGCATATAGTTATTTTTTCCTTTATTACCCAGATATGATCCTTTCTGCCAATTACATTATTTTTTGAATGGAACAGCAATGGTTGAACATAGTATAAATATTCAGTTATTACCATAAATATTAATTTGGGGAATATTCTCATTTATTTAATAAATATTTTTATCATCCATCTCATTCAATGTAAATAAATTTGCTTTATGTTCCAAAATCAATAAATTATAAAGTTCCTGCCATTTTTTTATTACAATCTGTATAAACAAATGATATAATCTTATATTTTGTCATTTGGGTTAATTTACAACAAGCAACATAAGCATTTTCTCTGAAACTTAAATGGAGTCTAAAAAGCACCAGGTTCCTTAATTTGGATGCTAATTGATCAAATATCACAAAGAGCCAGAGTATTTTGAACTGACTTATGTGGCAAATCAGTAACCACTGAATGAATTATTAGTGTTGCATAGCTAAATCTGCTTTTTGGGACCATTAGAATTTCCAACTCACCTTCAGCCCTGTGTTGAATGTGTTGCAGTAATTTAGATATAAGGTAGCATGAGTCAGTTGTCAGGGTTTTTAGTCCAAAAAGATCTACAACTAGATACCAATTGGAGCTGAATTGGCATGGAGAAGAAATATGTGTATGGGGGGAGGGGAAGAGTGAGAGAGGGTCAGTGACAAAAGTCAAAATAGTTCTGTGCTAGGTAAAGCAATAATACTCAAGAGGATCTTGGATTTGGGTATGAGCTTTTATTTACTTATACTTTTAGAAGTTGTTTTTTTTTACAGATTATATATCTTTTTGTTAGTTTTCTCACTATATTTGTCAAAAATTTCAAGAGTATTCTCTCTAAGGGACTACAAAAAAAGGAGTTTGGAGACCATATGCAATATATGCCACTTGCTTCCATTTTAAATAACGTTAAAGAATTAACATGGAGGCATTGTCCTTGCTGATCTCTAGGGTCAGAAAATCATAAAATCATGTTTGTTATAACCAGAACTGAATTCACCAAAATTATGTCTCATCCAGAAATAACTGAATTGGTCACAAACTACATAAACCTTAATCAATGTAATAGAAAGGTTCTAAAAAATAGATTACATTGAGATATGGCTCCTGCTTGAGCCAAAAGTAATTACTGTCAGATCTTTATTTATCAGACCATTAATACATAAACTCAGTGGGGTAACAGACATGGCAGATGGCATTTTTGTTACCTAGAAGTTGTCTGAAATATAATTAAAGACAGCAGATGGGCTAGAATTAGAAATGGGATAAATAATGTGCAAGGAGTATAATTTTATTTATTATGTGTGTTGCCCTGTTCTTTCAGTTCTGTCAACAATTTGTCCAATGTTGTTGTCTAAATCAGAGATCAATAGTTTTTACTTTGCCAAACATCCAAGTCAGATTTAATAAGGGGAAATTTAAGTCGACTTGAATTAGAATTGAATCAGTGAAAAGGGAGACAGTGTCAACTAATACCCCAACCACACCACATTTTTTTAATTAAAAAAGTATATAAACGTTATATAAAAGAGAAAATGGGCATTTGAGAGATAAAAAAATTCTCACTCCCAATTTTTCATAAAATATTATAAAAAAGAGATATTTTGCTGTAACAGTTCTATTCTACCTAATAAAGAACCAAAGAACTCAATACGTTTATAGCCCAGAAATGGACTATCTTTAAATAGTCAACAGCAGGGTTCCTGCTAAGCAGTCCCAGCCTACTGACCAACCCTGCCTCCCTGGCAACTTTGCCCAGAAAGCCTGGTATCACTTCATGAAGTGCTCAGTGCCCTAGTCTTGCTAGACAGCACCCTCAGCCCTGATAATGTGGCAGAGTGCAGAAAATGATATGGAGGGCCACATGTTTGAAACCACTGGTTTAAGACTTGCTTAATATTTCTTCAGTGTTACTATTACCGTTACATGAACAGTAATCAAGAACAAAGAAAGAAACAGCAATTGCAGCAGCTACACACTTCACAAAAAAGATCTAAAGAAAATATGAAAAACAGAAATGTGGAACATTTTGCAATGAGTAAAACTCATTTTTAAATAATGTTTAATAATTTGAAATGGTTTTCTCTGCACATATGGTTAGGCACCTTAAATTGTACTAAAGTTTATAATTTGTATTTATTTATATGTATAAGCTACATCTGTTTGCTATGACAAGTGAGTCTATTCAAATTTTAAAAACCTTACTGACCTCATTTGTCTGGGAACATATTTTCTCTATACTTTTTATGTGCTTTCTGTTTCAAAAGCTTATCAACCCTTTAGGTAATTGGTTTCATTATGACATTGCTCTATTAAGTTTATTTTCTTCCTGTTAGCTTGAGCTCTTTTGATCTGTGGTTTCCTACACCAAGATCTGCTTACATCAGGGTCAGGAAATCTAGTTTTGGTCCTAATTTACCAAAATAGGGGTATGGAGTCTCCTGCGAGACCATGGAGCTGCTCTATTACAAATCACATTACTGGCCTGTTCCTATTATTTCTATTCAACTTGCTCCTGTTTTCTTTTTCTTAGGATTTGTACTAACCACAATCCCCTTATATTCTAACCACAATCCCCTGATTATATTTAATCAACTATTTCAGTCAAAGGACCACAGTGAGTTCTCTGCACAACTATACATGGCATAGGATATTATTTATTTAATCCATATATTCTACATCTCTTATATAAAAAATCAATAATACTATAAACAAGAGTTCCCAGATGATATTGCTTAACTTCAGGAAGCCCAGTTGATATTGAGTCTCAACATAGCTAGCTGTTCATGGATCTAATGTCAACCTGTAGGAAAACAAAACTCTCAAATCATTCAGGACCAGTCCAGTAATGAAAAATTTAGGGAGGGGGGGTCCTTCAAATTTGTTACGTAAATCTGTGTACTGAAAGAAACTAAGGAATAGGAAAAGAAAATGTAGGACAAATAGCTGGTAAGTATTTTTTTTTCATTTTTTAAAAATATTTCTTATCCTTCCCACCTAGGTACCAGCCACAAGATAAAGAAATATTACAGCATCAAAATTTTTGAAAAATGTTTGATATCATAACTGAGTTTGTTTCTTTTTAAAAATGGATTTCTTATTTTAAACAATGAAGACAAACCACAATGAGCATTCTTCGTTAAGCAAAAATATTCCTAATAAAGTTTCTGTTCTTATAGTGAGAACTAAGATATAAGTGATGCTTCCAAAGATCAGAAGCAATGTCAAAAGTCTTACATGTATTAACTAGTGGTGCCATCTGCTGGATCAAAAGATGTTTCTTCATACTTTAGAAAAAGCTGTAGAGAGGGATCCAGCCAAAATAATGCAGAATGCTGTTAAGAGCAGCAGATAGTTTTTCAGTCCCTGCATAGGCATTTTGGGATGGAAAAGGGGCAACAAGAAGAGAAATAGCATTATTTTGTAGAACTGGAAAACAGTATTAGCACATTTGCCAATCAACACATTTCTGGTACAGATGTACATGCACTAGAATACCTTTTATAAGATTATTAGTGGAAAGATTATTATTGCCAACTTTTTTAAAATGGCATACACATTTTAGGGCCATATTTAACTTCTGAAGCTGCACTTCTAAAAGTAATAGGTGGAAATAGGACTTAAATTAAATTTTAATTAATTTCATATACATTTAAAGGAGATTAAATGTAAGCCTCTTAATCCAACTATTTTTCAGGCATGACTATAATTTTTCCCATGTGTCATGTTCAAAATAACAAATGTCTCGCTTATCAACATAAATTTTGGGCTCAATTGTGGTTGTAAGTCGAGGACTACCTGTACTAATGCTCTAGAGCAGTGGTGGCGAACCTATAGCACGCATGCCAGAGGCGGCACTCAGTGCCCTCTCTGTGTACACACGTGCCGTTGCCCCAGCCTTGCCTCCTCCCGTGACCCCGTCACCAGCAGCCCCCTGGAGGAGAGTCACCCCCGAGCGTGGCCCATGCAGAGCAGTGCAGCCAAGGACATGGCAGCGAGGCAACGTAGACAAGACTCTGCCCTCACACTCCATCACGCACAGTTGATGCTGCGGGGCACGGGCAGAGGGGATGGCCGCAATGGTGCTGCTGGGCTGCCTGGGTGATCTGTGGCGGTCCCTGGAGGCAGTGAGTGGCGCTGCGGGCAGGTGGGGAGGGGGACGGGCAGGAGGTGGAGTGGGGGCGGGGCCAGTTTTTGGGCACTTGGTTTCTAAAAGGTTCGCCATCACTGCTCTAGAGAAAATGGAAGAAATAGACATGCAACCCAATTATCTAATTTACTGTGCCCATTTATTAAAAACACACCAAATGTCACAGGGAAAGATTAAGGTACTGTGTGGAGAACAATATTGCTTTCATTTGTTGTTCATACCTTTATTTCTTTAAACACCAGCACTCCCCACACTGCGGCTATAAAACCAGGAGCCTAGAAGGCAAATTTGATGAACAGTATCTATGAATATACCTTTTATTCATGCTTTTGTTATATTTTTATCTATGACAAAATATTTGCTTCAGTCTTGCTACCACTAAAATGCAATCATTTGGTAAATGGTTGTACATGTTTAAGACAGGACAAAAAAAAAAAAAAAAACAGAAGAAAATACCGGTTTAGGAAACAGAAAGAATGGTAAAAAAGATTTTGGATTATGATTATCTAAAATGTTATTATTGGCCTCTGATTATATCTTGTATTTTAAACTAGCTATATTATGCTAGGGCTATGCTGATATTGTGTCTCAACTAAAAACAGAAAAAAGCAATCACTAAACAGAATGGAGAGAAAAGAGAAATGCTCAGGTGAAAAAATAAAATGAGGTGATGACCAACATCAAAGGATAGGTGAGAGAAGACCAAGCTGTAGTTTCCTCCCTTTCTGAATTCTGAATAACAGCCTTCTTCTAAGTTAGCATTATATTAACTAAATATTTAATGGTCTAAAATTGATAATGTAATAAGCTGGTTCTGTTGTTTATAACTGATTTCATCTATATATTTCTGCAGCTGCACCAAGACTACATTAGAAATTCCTGAAAAACAAACAGTTGTAGTAAAGTGATGATAAAGAACATATAACAGAAATGGTACTGGTCAGATTCTAGAAGAGAAAGGTATCTTTCTACTCAAGTTTGTGGCAAAACCAGTTTGAAAAAAAAAAACTAAGTTCTTGCTATATAGTCGTGATAAACATATACTTGGGGCATTTCTTTGCTGTTTTTATTGCTGACAAAACTGGAAAAAAACAAACTAAACAAATACGAGCATCAAAAATCAAAAAACTCATTTCCAAGTTATTCAATTTCTTTTCTGCTAACAGCATGACCTCAATTTTGTTCTGAACTTAAGATTAGATTAGAATCATAATATATAGAAAATAGAAAAAAAGTCAACAGGTTAGCCCAAACATTAACTAATCTTCAAATCCCTCTGTTAACCAAGTGCTATTGTATTTAACATGTAGAAAGTCCAAAAATGGTTTCTATCACTTATAAAGATGTCTAGTCCATTGTCTCTAATCAAAGCAGTGAATTTTGCCATCTCTGCTTCCGTCAATTTTAAAATCCATTCTTCAACAGTCAGCATCTCTTTTCCTATTTTTATTGTCACTGTTATGTATTGGTAGAATGAGTACTACCACCAAGTTTTAAAATTACTTGCATACGTGGGGAATGATCAACATTCTTATTACTTCCCTCCACGGTGTCATGTACTTGGAGAAGAGGTGGGAGAAAAAAAGGAAAAGTCCTGATCATAATTATAACACAGAGTCTGTCAAGTGCATCAGTTGTGAATGTTGACCCTTGTTGGGTCATGGGAGGGTAGGAATGCTTGACTTTCCCTCTCTATAATGACTTTGAAATCAAACAGAATTATCTGGTGGGCCTGATAATTGTAGCACTACAGCAAGACTCTACAGACAGAAATGTTACAGAAGGAAATCTGACGCTTTCGGTTTTGACAGATTTTGTGGGTAGCACTAAGTTTTGAAATCCTGAGCTTGGGAACTCTCCCTTCCAGGCTTCATTGACCCTATCCTAGAGTTAAAAAATAAATAAATAAAGAAATACCTATGGATTTTACTCCACTCGTCATTGCTGACTATAGGGGGAGGTGCTCATCTCCTTTTCAAGGCCATTGAGCCAGCGCTGTCCAAAGACATTTCTGTGATCATATGGTTAACATGATGTCGTGGAGTGCTTTTACCTTCCCATTGTAGTGGTACCTATTTATCTGCTTGCATTTGCATGCTTTTGAACTGTTATGTTAGCAGGAGCTGAGGCGAGGATGGGAGCTCTCCCTGTCGCATGGCACTCAGGTCTCAAATCTGGGCTGCTGGCTTTCCAGTCAACAAGCCCAGTGTCTTAAATGCTGAGCCACTGCGCTGCTCCTGCCCTAGAGATAAACCACAACAGAAACATCCAGGACGTTCCCAACACTTATGTCTGTCCTAGCAATGTCAGATAGGAGAACCATGAAAAAAATAGGAATGCTCACTCTATTTTGAACTTTCTTGATTAATTCATCAATTGGAGCCAACTGTCTTGCATAAGCAGACCCATTTGCATAAGCAGAGCCAGATGAAAGTCAATTTAAAATCTGAGATCAAATAATATTCTCCCAAGGAATAACATAGCATATAATTCATTGCATAGGAAGAAAGCTTGAACATAAAAGAGATCCTTCAGTAAATGCTCTTGTCCCATTTATTAAACAAGCAATTTCTCTGATACTTACAGCAGTGATTATTGGGAAGCTCACAACAGCACTGAGATAGTGGTTTGCTATAAACCAGCAGCAATTGGCTATTGCCCATAATGTTCCAGAAATAAATCCTGACAAAAGGTAAGAAAAAAGATTACTATAGTATTACATCCTGGAGCACTCCTGAATATTTTTGCCAGCATGCCAAGTCATGGCTGTTCCAATATCTTTGGGATTTCCTTCCTTGATTTCTTTTCCTTATTATTCGTAGGAGGGAAGATGATATTTCTGCAGATTCTGAGCTTTCTCTGTTCACCCAAATATCCTCTCTCAAATCAATGTTATCTGGAGAAAGAATTTGTTCTTTATATATACAAAATTTAAGCTAAAAAAGCTACATAAGGCTGGAGGGCAATTCCAAAAATAAAGAAGCAGTTCATGTTGAATCTTTTTTTTTTCAAACAAATTTTATTGGTTTTTTAATTTTTACATGAGAGTGCTCAGGAAAACACCATGGTGAAGGAGAAATTAGTCGTCCAAAAACAAAGTCATACATACGTAAATACATTAAAAATTTCCCTCTCTACTTCCCTCACATAATATAAGGAATTTAGTTTAATCTATTTCTTCATAAAATTCAATCAGTCCAAACAATCATCATCCTGCTTTAAGCTTCACTAATTTCGATTAACATATTCAAATTCATTTTAAGTAAACATATTAATAAGACTTCAGATATCCCTTCTACAACATACATAGTATTCCAACAATAACATTCTAGTATTTTCACATATATTCCATTTTTTAATTTAATAGATCATTGGTTAATATCCTTTCTTCTCTTATCGTAAATCTCTCTAGTTCTTCTATTACAAAGTAATTTTTTAAATAAACAGAATAAAAAATAAAGAAACATCTCAGCCCGTTAAATAAAATTTAAATCTCAACCAAAATAGTTATCATGTCTAAGACAAACATATCATTACACAAATTATCATCTTACTAATTTCGCATAGTCAGTTAATTATCAAATAATCAGTCCGAATCTCTAAAGCCTTTTTGATCCAATAAATGAAAATTTAAATCACATTTTTAAATCTAACTCTGGCTTTTTTTCTGTGCCAAGCTGGTGTCCATGATGCCGCATCTATGTCATCAAATCTCCATATTTTAATACTGGTATTTATCCACAAGTCATTCTGATCAAATTTCTCCTCCCCATCTTCCAATGTCATGTAGGTAATATAGTCAATTTTGTTCCATATTATGGTTACAGCTTGATTATCCAAGTTGTCATAACTTTCAATAGATCGCACCTGGAAGTCAGTTCCTGTTGGTTTTAAAAGTAAGAGTGTTTCAGTTGAAGATATTCTGTGATCTTCAAAATTCTCCATAGTTTGTACATAAACTTGTGAGATATCCTCTTCTGTAGTAATTAGTTGATTTGTAGAGTGGTCGATTAAAGTCTCAGTCTGGGATTTTGGGTCCAAAGTTTTTCTACGATTCAATTAGTCAATAGGTTCTTTTTCCATCTCATTAAATTGTGTACACTGTTGTTTATTGGCTTCTCCTTGGCCTATAGGTTGATCTTTTAAAATTTGAGGCTCAGTTTGTGGTTCTGCAAAATGATCTTTAATTTTTCTCCATGATTTCACATACTCTGTAGCTTCCAATATTTTTTCCAGTATAACCTCATAGTCAAGCTGTGGGTAAGATTCTTCCATTTCCATAGTGAAATAGTCTTTTAATCTTTTAGTAAAAGCTATATTTATTAAAAGTCAATAAACATCCACCTTCACAGTTTCTAAATCACAAAGTCAACCCACAGCTATTTCCAAGCCTTTATCTTCTTTTATTATTACATTACAATTGCAGTAACACTTTCACCACAAGATATCCTCAGTGAGCTTAGAAACTTTTTTCTTTCCAAGTTAAAAGCTTTTATCTCATTTTGAGAACGAAACAGAAAGAGGCAGGAAGAAGCAAATATCTCTGATATAGTAAGTAGAATAATACTCTATAATACAGTGGTTCTCAACGTTTGTGTGACGGCGACCCCCGTCACACAAACGTTCTGTGCATGCGCGACACCGCGCACATGGGGGCGGCGGCGCCCCCATGGGCGGCACGCATGCGCAGCGGCGCCCCCATGCGCGGCACGCATGCGCGGCGGCGCCCCCATGCGCGGCACGCATGCGCGGCGGCGCCCCTTGAGGGGAAAAAATGGCGGATCACCTTCTTTGGCGACCCCCGAAAAATGGTCGATCGACCCCAAATGGGGTCACGACCCATAGGTTGAGAACCGCTGTTATAATACAAGTTTTTCCAGGGGTCCCAAGTATCCAAAAAATTAGAAGTCCAGTAAATGCTGTTCTGTAGTTTTATTCAAAGTAGTTCCGGTTTTGCGGCAACTGCGGTCGTATGAAAAGACTTGTCTCTCCACCGGCCGATTTTCCTTCGCTGGTAGACCCCGAAGGGGGTTGAAAATCGCCCTGGAGGGGCAACCACCGAGGCTTGCTGGTGACTGCGGGAAGGCGGCAGCCTCGCCCACTGCCCCAGCTGACTCCTTAGGGCCAATGGAGTAAAGATCGTCCTACAAGATAGCCGATCATCTAGCTGCACCAGCCAAAGTCAAAAGAACAACTAAGCGTGAAGAAACCACTGCAGAGAAATCTGGGTGACATTTTTTTCCCCCTCTTACCCCCAAATATTTTTTCTGCAAAAAGCCTTTGGATGGCTTCCCTACCCTAAGAAAGTGGCGTTCATCTGTTTGGGGAAAAATATTTTGAATAAAACTACAGAACAGCAGTTCATGTTGAATCTTAAGATCATATGTAAAATATAGTACAGAATTGTGGCTTTCATGTATTTATATGCATGATTTAGCTCTGATTCTTGAAATAAACTTGTATTAGTCTTCTAATCAAGTGAAATAAAAGCTTTTCCTGTTTTCTATGTTTCCTAATGATTGACATTAGAATATGCAAGAATCAATATTTCTGAAGGTCTAGCTCCAGCAGACTGAGCTAAAGGGATTTATTTTTCTACTTAATATCTTTCCTTTGTAAACACTGAGCAAGCACACTACATTAATTTAAGAATATTGGTATTTGATCTCAAAAGACACTAGAATCATGCCCAGGATAGCAGGCCTCATTAAAAGGTACTTATTGACAAGATATATATTCCAAATAGATTATAAATCTGAATAAGTCTTTGCTTTTGCTTGAAAATTATACCTGGTATTATAGCTGCAGGATAAACCTTAGGGTTATTTTTCATTGCTGCACAGTAGATCAGAAAGTAGACGGTACTTGTAAGGAAGATACCACTGAAGTGAGCAAATACATAATCTAAATCTGAAATAAATATCAAAAGATATACAATATATGAATATATGTTTAAGACATATATTCAGGAACTTCACCAATGTTATTCATTGATGTGATTACTTAGGCAAGGTCACATGTTGCAATCATTCACTGTTTATTAACTGGGAGATTTTTGTTCTAATTAATCAACATTTTCATATCTCTAACAAAAATAAGCCAAGTGTAAATAGAAGACCCATAAAGGTTAGGAACACCCTGGACCACAAGAGTTATATAGCAGTGCCCACTGATTAAAAATAATGTCCCATTCCTATTATTACAACCTTTTCAGAAAACTGTGAAGCAAAGAAATTCTAGCAGCAAAAATTATAGCCTTCAGTGAGTTGCCTCTGGAAAATGGGACCTACTGATAGTTATAGATGCTAAAGACAATTAAACAATAGAAACATTACAGAAAAATATGTATCCTCCCAACTGTCTCTCTTTTTAACTTTTTCTTTAATTTTTTTAAAGTTTTTTAAAATATTGAATAATATTTTAAGACAATGCATTCATACACTGAAGTCATTTTATTTTTAAAATTATATCTTAAAATTGCTGCATAAGAATGTTCACTTCTTTTGCTGAGGATGAGTAGTACTTGCAAACACTATTGTTTCAGAGAGCACTGTGATTTTCACTATAGAGGGGAAAAAAAGTCTAATGTCTCTTTTGCATAGGATAGTGGATCTCTCTCTCTCCTCCGCTAGACTGGCAAGGTTTTAGAGGACAGAAAATACAATGGAACTGGCAGCCATCTATTGAGATCTGAGACAGAGATTGCCCAGAGTGCTAAGGAGAGGGCAAGTCTCAAGATTTTGGATCCCCTCTTCCTGACCATGTTAGTCTGCCCCTAAAATCCACAAAACAAACAAACACACATAAAGAGAATACTGTACACGTGGCCTTCAGTATCCTTACTTTCACGAGCCATACTTTCTTGTATCCAGAGTTATAAAATATATATTGAATGCAAAATCTACAATAAACAGCTTCATTTTCCCACAATTTTTGATGTAATGCCTACAATTTGCAGACTGGCTTTTTACTTATAAAGTACTTTTCATGGTCTCTGTTTCCACAGTCTAGTTATTTGGAGCTGCTTGGCTTGAAGAGAACCTCAGTAAATAACAAGGGCAATCTCTCTCTTTTTTAATTTAATCAGTATGTTATACTATATTTTATTTAAATCAGCATATTTTGTTAAGCTGTATGTAGCAATAAATTCTTACTAATGTGATATTTTGGGGCAAATCATCCAAATGGCTATACTTTTAAATCTATTAATAAAAAGAGTTTTAAATGTAAGGCAATTTTAGGATCAGGCCAAATAATATATATTCATTTTTCTAAAGTAAGCAATTGATTTTAGGACAAGAAACTCTGCTAAAAGTAGCATGAGGAATGTAAAAAGAAACATATGTAAAATTTTTCCCTCCCTTCCTTATACCATAAATTGCCACAGTTCTCTTCTAGGATATATGACTTTCAGAAGAAGTCATCTGCTTTTACCAAATTGACTGGCTCCTATATATATAGTCCCATTTCTTCTGCCGTGGTCCTTGATGTAAAACACAGGTATAAAACTAGAGCCGTAGAATATCCCAGCTATCATAGCCAGAAAGCAGCCTCTGGCAGGAAAAGAAAGACAGAAATATTTTAAGTTGACTTAAGTCACAACATTAATTGCACATGAAAACAACACTGCTGGAGAAGAGCCACTGATTTTCAGAAATTATTATCTATGAGGAAACAGCAAAAGTTCTTGACTGCAACCAACTATTTAGCTTACCAACTCTTTTGTCTAACAGCTATCACATAACGCAAGAGAGGGAATAAGATGGGAGAGAAAGATGCCCTGAACTTACACCATTCTCTTTCCCAATGGAGAAAGGTTGTCCACCCAAGATACATCACTCCTGTTTTCGACTCTGTACTCAGAAGTGTTGATAGACTGTTGATGAAAATCAAAACATTTAATTTTTTTAAGATTTCCAAAAGCATTTGAATGCATGTAAACTTGGACTCAGTCTACACATGACAGACAGAACTTTGCCTAAGGGAATTAAGTGGTACAATAAAAATTATTTTGTTTTGAAAATCCAGATCATCCCATTTTCCTGCTTCTTGAAGACTTTATATCACCATTTATAATAATTAGGCAAATTATACATTCTTTTGTAACATTTCATTTCTAGTTGCAAATCAATGCACATCTTTCTAATATGAGGGGACATGAATTAAACTGTTAATATGTTTTTTTTGTAAAAAAAAGAAGTTGGTTGTACATTAATGGAAGAAAGAACTGTCCCACTTGTTTCCAAATAGTTGCAGGTAAATTCTATTAACACATTCACTGACATTATACTGACATTATACAGTTGTAACATAAGAGCTGTGGCAGTGCAGTGGTTAGAATGCAGTATTGCAGGGTAAATTCTGCTCACTGCCAGCTCAGATTGACTCAGCCTTCCAACCGTTCAAGGTTGATAAAATGAGGACTTAGATTATTGGGGGCAATATGCTGATTCTGTAAATCGCTGAGAGAGAGATGGCTGTAAAGCACTATGAAATGGTATATAAGTCTAAGTGCTATTGCTATTGTGTATCCCTAAATACAACCATTTGGAACTCTTTTTCTTTTTCTGATGCTGTTCATTGATATCCATAGCCACTCTTGTTCAGCCCAACTGTAATGATATGATATAAACCCAATTAATATGTACTATCAATCCTTTCCATTCTGGAATTGTAGTATTGACTTCCACACCTCTTCTACAAATAGTGCTAGAGTTCCTATTATGCTTGCCAATCAAATGAAAGCATAGTGTACTGGCAGGTACCAGAATATTCTTGCAGCAAAAAGATGTTGAGAACACAGAATTGGCTATTCTCAATTTTGGCCACGTATCCTAATAAGACTTTTCTAAAATCAGCAGTGCAACAACTTCAACCATTATAAATCTGTAGAGATTATGGTTCCAAACCCTATTCAATCATAAAGCTCCCTGGATGATATTGGGCCACTTATTATTTTTCAGCATTGATTATTTCACATAACTGTTGGAAGTATAAAGCAAGAAAGAGGAAAAGAATATAAAGTTTGGGGAAAAAATTTGCTTGGCTTGGTTTGGGGCCTCATAGACATCCTGCCATCAAGGAAGAAGGAGGGGAAGATGGAAGGGGGAGAAGGATGAAAGAACAATAAAGCTTTGTGTGTACATGATAGAAACTGGGAGGGGTGATGACAGATGATAAGGACCAGAGCAGCCAGATCATATTTGTATCAGCATCTCACAGCGAGGCACCTTGAAAAAATATGTGGATTACCCCCAAACATTTGAGTTCTCAAAACATCTTGGCAAGCTCCGGTTGACTGGAAACAGACTGGTCCCAGGGGATGGGCTGGGGATAAACCTACACCTTATTTTTGAATCCAGAGAGCGCGGTAATTTCAGAGCTGGCTTGACTTTACTGCAACCATCACTCTTAGTAAAAGAACCCTTTGCTTTAACCAAATGGAGTTGAAAGTTTTTCTTTCTTAAGGGATCAGATTGGGGCAGGTCTGACAAAAGCTGTGATACTAATATTTATTTTAACACAATTAATATAATGCTAATTTATTATGATTTTCAATGCTGTCTGCTTTCCACATCCTTTTTTTTTTTAGTTATGGAAAGAAATTCTATATTCTTGAAGCTTAATAGAAATTAGAGGACAAGGTAATCACCTGTCAAATAACCAACAGAACAGATTCTTTCAAAGATTAGGCCAGCTGTTAGGCATGTTCCCACTTTATGCACATAGTTATTCAGCCTTTAATAAATATGTAATCTAACTTTTTAAAACTCCTGTTTGAGTAGATCTACAATAGTGAAAATCGGCAGTCAAACAGATTCCTCCAAGGAAAAAGAAGGTTTGCACCTTATAGGATTTATCACAAAGCTTTGGACAGCAAGTGGGTGGAATAAAACCTCATATTAATGATGTTTCATAACAAAGGCATACATTTTCTGGGTGACATCCAATGTCATATGATGGTACTTTTACATCGTTTTAAAGTTTTGCTGATTAAGGAATCTTGGGAGCTAAAGTCTACTTATCTTAAAATAGTTGATGTTGAATATCTTTGAAGTCAAGGACACTATCTGGGCTAATTCTGCTGCTGAAACAAACTTTATTTTAGGGAAAAATCTAGTTGATAGTTTTTAGCCACCATCTTGAAAACTGTAACAATAGCAAAAAGAAACATACCTGTTCTCTTAATAATGGAGCGCTTTCTGAAGATGAAGAGTTTTGAACTTCACTTTTTATGAAAAGAAATATGATGGAGCTGCAAAGAGATAACATCAATAGTCATCCATATAGGTAGTATATGTTTGAGGTAACTGGTGTTTTTCTCTTGACTTGCTATGATATATTATTCTTTACTATCTAATCAAAAGCATATTTACACATTTTCTGAACATTAGTAATTTTAAACAATCCAATATTTATTTTCTTGGAACACATATAGGGAATTTAGTGAAATATCCTTTCCAGTAACACATGCTTAGATTGTAGCTTAGATCACAAGAATAAATAGATATACTTTGATTCACCTGATTTGGAATGATTACTTACAGATATTTTAAAATCAAAGTGCTGTAATAATTAAGAGAATGATAATGTTTTCAAAAACCTAAGTACTGAAAGTGCTGCTCCGATGTAATTCAGAACTGGTTTTCTGACTTCTTCTGGGTCAATTCCAAACCAACCAAATCTATGAAAGGTTGATTAAAACATGTATTATTTTCTCCAAGTTTCACAATGACTTTTTAGCTATAGAAATGAAATTAGCACAGGAAAAGAATAAGAAAAAAAGGATATAGTTACAAATAATCAGTAATAACTCTTACATAAATACATATTTTTGTATATACATATTTTATATGAATACATACTCTTCTCTATGTAATAGCTGCTTGTAATGAATTGTGCATGAGGATTTATATTCTCTTGCTCAGAAGATTAGATTTTTAAATTTTAGTGTACTGGTTATATTTGAATGTAATTATTCTGTATTTATTTGCTCCTATGGCTCGAATACGTTATAGACCTTTTTTGGCAGATTATGTCTTTTCCCAATCTCCCATCATTAAATTGGATAAGTTTAGTGAGAACATGTAGAAATGCTAATAGACATTAAGCATTTAGTAAATGACAGTCTGTTAGAGGCAATTATGTTTGTATTGTAGAAGAGCTTTAAAATGCTAAAAAGTTTAGATCAGAGATTGCAACATTGACTCCTTGAATGTTGTTGAACTCTAGTACTCACATTGCACCATAACTGCAGCTTGATTATACAGATTATATAGATATACAAATAAATGATTTCTGATGTTGAACATATCATTCAGCAATTTCTAGAGGTCCACATAAGATAACCTTTATTGTTATTTTTTTTTTTACTGTGGGCACAACGGCACACATCAAAAAAATGAAATTTAGTTTCCCACTCTCAAAGTGAAACACATACATGACACACACCTAAACATACTATATACAACATATGTATAGACCCACACCCCTACATATACGTAACAAATAAATATATTGTCCATCTTGAATATATAACGGAAGGAGGAAGCTTGAGAGTTCACAAGGTTAATGCTGTATGGAATGAAACTATGGCTGAATCTGGATGTTCTGTTATGGATATCACGAAGCCTCCTCCCAGAAGGTAACAAGGAAAACAGATTGTGAAGAGGATGTGTAGTGTCCCAGTGTTGCTGCTCAAGCAACACTTCTGTGCTATGTCCTGGATGGGAGGGCTAATGCTATTTGGAAGATATTACAAAAATTAAAATTCTTCTAAGATATAAACATATAATTGCCTCTACAGACTGACATTTATTAAATGCTTAATGCCTATTAGCATTTCTACATGCTTTATGTTATGGAGAACTTATCCAAGGGGGGGGGACCAGAGGAGAATGAATCTTCCAAAAGAGTCTATAACTTCTTGAAGCCACCAATGAGCAAATAGATATTTCTAAATCTATTCTTGTGAGCAAGAGAATATAATCCTCTTGTACAATTCATTACAAACCGGTATGATATAAGGTAGCACCCCCCACAACCTTTGGGCACCAGGGACCGGTTCCATGGAGAAAGTTTTTTCTGCAGGGGTTGTGGTTTTGTGTGCTGGCTGCATATAGCAGATGGGGCTTGTTTTTGTGTCCTGATTGCTGGCATCCCATGGACTGGTGGGGGTTGGGGATCTCTGATATAAAGAAGAAAAAAATCTTTCTCCAAGAAGTTTATTTTTGATCTTTGATTAAATGATACAAATACATGGATGGCTCCCAGAGTAAATGTTAAGTATGCAGCATGTTTACCTTGAACTTGCCCAGCCAGTTAGCAAGTTAAAAGAAGCCCAGATTAAAAGGCCAAGGCCTAACCCAATGGTTTTAACAACTGGAACAACTGTTATATTACCTACACAGAAGAATGAAACCCATTGATTAGACATAAGACGTAATACCTATATTTTCATAATTATAATGAGCTACAATGATTACCATCACCACTTTTAATGCATATTATGTTTTGATGGGTAATTGTATGAATATTGGGTATGCATAACTCTTTCATATTCAAATGCAGATTACAGTAACTTTATTTCTATGCTCATCAGCTATGCATTGTACTGACTACAATGAAATGAAGCATAATTCACAAATATTACACATTCTAATCCTACATGTGAGGGAAGACACTGAACAATCAAGGAAACTATATAAAGCAACTCTCCTCATATATTTTAATATACTCAGACACCCTCACTACATGGTAGGCAGGACACATCAAATGAGAGATTTTAGGCTGACCCCATTATATTATCATATCTAAGTGTTTTGTTAAGATGATTAAAGATGACTAAGATGATTAAAGGCTTGGAGACTAAAACATATGAAGAACAGTTGCAGGACTTGGGTTTGACTAGTCTAGAGAAAAGGAGGACTAGGGCAGACATGTCAAACTCGCGACGTCATGAGACGTTGCGCAATGTATCGGGCCGTTTTGCCATTGCTGGCAGTGGGGTGGGCACGGCTTCCAAATGACACGTCTGGCCCATAGACTGGCAGTTTGACACCCCTGGACTAGGGGGACATGATAGCAGTATTCAAATATTGAGAGGCTGCCATAAAGAGGAGGGGGTCAATTTATTTTCCAAAACACTAGAGGGCAGGACAAGAAACAATGGATGAAAACTAATCAAGGAGAGAAGCAACCTGGAATTAAGGAGAAACTTCCTAACAGTGAGAAAAGTTAACTAGTGGAACAGCTTGCCTTCAGTTGTTATGGATGCTTCATCACTGGAGGTTTTTAAGAAGAGACTAGACAGTCACTTGTCTGAAATGGTATAGGATCTCCTGCTTGAGCAGGGGGCTTGACTAGAAGACCTCCAAGGTCCCTTCCAGCTCTATCCTGATTCTGTTCACCTTTAAAATGTAACTTGCATTTTCTAGTATGGAAAATTAATGACAATCTTTTTCTAACTTACTATATTAATGTCATTACTGCATTATTCTTTCTGAAGAACCTCAGAATGTCATATAAACAATTTCTAATAAAAACAAATACATATAACCATTAAAAAAATAAATCCCCATAAAATGAGACCATAAAACATTAAAAACATTTAGGTTTCAGAACACTTGTTACCCTGCAAATGCCCAGATGAGTCCAATTGTAGTGCTGCTATTGCAAATCACCAATTTTCAGTGAGGAAAAATAATGACATAACAATTGATTCCTAATCATAAATAATCACAAAGTTTGTCCTAACTCAGATTACAACTCAGTATGTTGTCAAGCTTAGATTTTGTATATTTTACTGCACTCCTGTAAATTGTGCAAATTATGATAGAACTTTCTCTAATAAATTTGATGGAGGATAATTTCAATATTACCTGTAGCCCATAAAAAGCCCCCAACCATAGCAAGAGGCCAAAACTTTGGGCTGTTCTGAATCAGGTTAACAATTAAAGAAACAATCCAGATAGCAGCACAAAGAATCCACTGGAAGAACATTCCTACAATAAAAGAACAAAAATTATAAATTATCAGTACAGTTAATATTGATTAAACATATGTGATGTCATGAAATGTTTACAAATGAAACTGCAGCAATGAATAAAAGGGCATGTTAGCTACTGTTTAGCCTCACCCTTTAAGGGTGAGTAAAAATCATTTTTTTTTTTAAGTCTTGGTGATAAAGACAAATAAAAAAAGAGATCCTCAAAATGAAAAAAGTAAAAAGAATGGTAAAGAGGAGGCAGTAAACTAAGAAGCTATACCCTGAGAATATGCAGAGATGCCCTAACGCAGATATGTCAAACACAAGGCCCTGGGGCCAGATGAGGCCCACAAAGTGGTTTCATTTGGCCCGCAAAGTCATCCTGGAAACAGTGAGGGAATGACCCCCACTGCCTTGGCCCTGGCCCAGGCTGGCTGGGAGGGAACCAATGTACAATTTTGTGGTGGCCATCTATGCTGAAATGCATTGAGTCTTAGCTCCACAAGGCCGTCTGGAAGCAGTGAGGAACCAGCCACTGTCGTGTCGGCCCCACCCCCTGGGTGCATGCTGGAGAGGTGTCACCTTTTGTGAGGAATGAAGAAATACACCATTGCTTGGAAGTGGTCAGCATATGGCCCTCACCTACTTCACATATCTGGCTTGATGGGCTCCGGGGAAGGGGTTTCTGCAGGCAGCGGGGCACTCTCCTCACAGCGCCAAGAGCTGAGCTGGGTGGAGCGAATCTGATGAGAAGTGCAATGCTGCCTAGCTCCCAGCCTGCCCAGTTTCAGCAGGCAGCAAGGTGCAAACCTGGCGAGCTTTGCACCGCCTGGCTCAACCTCTTGGCACTGTGAGGACAGTGCCCTGCCACTTGCTGAGACCAGGCAGGCTGGGGGCTGGGCAGCATCACGCTTCTTTTCGAATTTGTGCTGCCTGGCTCAGCCGCTCGGCGCTATGAGGAGAGGGCCTTGCTGCCTGCTGAAACCAGACAGGCTGGGGGCTGGGCAGCATTGCACAGGTAACGTTGACTCTCACGCTGCTCATGGCATCCCCTCCCCCAGAGCCCACCAAGCCAGATATGTGAAGTAGGTGAGGGCGATATGCTGGCCACACCTCCCCAGCTGTATTTCTTGCCTATTTTTCTCCCTCCCTCATCTCAAATATTTTCCCACCACTCTGTACTTAGGAAAGAAGGAAAGAAGGAAAGGAGAGGGAGGATCTGAAGGAAGTCCTGCCTTAGTCCTGCCCTGCTGTCCTTTCACCATCCCCTTGCCCCCTCCTCCTGGCCTATCCTGGGGGTCTCCCATCCCATTGGTAAGGAAGCTTTGGATACAAAGCTGGGTCTCCTCTCATGGAGAGGGAATGGGCCTCCCTCTGACTTTGCCCTCGTACCCATCATGAACAACCTGGCTAAGGAGCAGCAGCCTTCAGGAGGAGGTAAGTGCAGCTGGGCACCCCCTTGGGGAAGTGGGTTGGGCTTGGTGCCATGGGTGCTTGAGGGCCAGGCTGGGCATTTGACCTCTGCTGCCCAGGGCACCGGGCAGCCTGCACCACCATCCAGCCCACCCCCACAAGGCCTGAGAGGAACAGTGGCTTCTCCAGTGGACCATGCCTTGGCACTTGCCATGGTCCCACCCCCTTCTGCCAGAGACCCTCAGGTCTGTCCCACTCCTGCCCAGGCCCACACAGGCACCATTGATGCGAACGATGTAGAGCTGGCCACACCCACCCAGTAGGCCACACCCACTCCATCCACACCCACCCAGTAGGCTGCACCCACCCTGGTCGCACCCACCCGGCCCCCCGAGGGCAACCGCAATGCTGATGCGGCCCTCAATGAAATTGAGTTTGACACCCCTGCCCTAATGAGATCAAAAAGAATATAGGAAAAGTAATGTAAGGTGAAGAAGTAAAACCATTGAAGCAAGAGGTCATCTGATCAAGCTATATATTAAATACTCAAAATTTGTTAAGCTGGCTTCTTGTATTCTGAAGATCCAAAATATGTGCCCTACCTAGATACTGCTGAACATCATCAGCATATCCTTTTTCTCCAAAAGTCTACAATAAGTAGCACCCTTGAGGATAAATAGCAGTTGGCGTAGGGAGACAAGCTAGGAGCACATTTCTAAGTGAAGACCCCACAGCAATTTTTCATTCAAAATAAAAGTGGCTGATCATAAGCATTGTTTAAAAATAATAAGATTAATATAACATACAACTTGGTCATTCAACAAATATCCTTTTTACAAAAGCTTGAAATAGAACTGAATTGAAATAGAAGATACTTTGTTCCTTTATCTAGGGAAGTGTTTCTCAACATTGACAATTTTAAGGCATGTGGACTTCAACTCCCAGAATTCCACAGCCACCGGGCCCACCCCATTGCTGGCAATGGGAAAAAAGTCACAATATGTCACGACACGTCATGTGACGTCGCAAGTTTGACACCCGTGTTCTAGACATTTATCTAGATCCTATGCACTAGGCAACAAAATACAAGAAATATCAACTACTCATTTGCTTTAAAGGGCAGTTATCCTTGTTTCAATTTTTTTCCCTAAAAAAAATTATTAGGTTAGGGCAAATTATTTGATAAGGTCATGACAAAACCAAAATTTAATTGTATTTAAATTAAACACAAACAATAAGAGCTATATACTTACAAAGACACATTTCATAAAGTTTCTTTTATGTTAAAATATAAATTTTATAGTATATTTGGACTTCTGGTAATGAAATGCTTCAGCCCAAAAGTATCTTTTATTTGCCCTTTCATGGATAGATATCAGCTATAATTGTTCAAAGGGACTCTTTAAGTGAAATGCATGATAACAGCAATTTTGTTTTACCATCCCCTGTGTCAAACTTCTTCACCGGTACAAAGTTTGATCCAAATAAGACAACAGCAACTGCTGAAGAAATAAAGCCAATGGTCAGATCTGTTGTATTACTGCTGACAGAGTGGGGGATCCCTTGCCAGCTCTCCATCTGCTTTTAGTGCCTGACTTGACCTCTGTAAAGAATTCTCTGGATTCCTTTTCTTCAGGCAGCACTAGGAGGAGAAAATCATTGAATAAACGACACATCACAATATTTACAAAATCCTCATACTATTATTACAATATGATTCTCCCCTTCATTCTGATTTGTTACAATTATAGCTTTTAGGTAAAATTAAAGTAGTAATTCAAAACAAAGATTTTATTTATTTATTTATTTAATTTATATGCTGCCCATTTCACTGTTAAGCAACTCTGGGTGGCTTACAACAATATAAAAGCGTAATATAAAACAATGAAAGCATTAAAAACATTCAGCATTAAGAATCAAAACATATTGCAACCAATTTTGGTCACCATACTACAAAAAAGATGTTGAGACCTTGGAAAAAGTTCAGAAAAGAGCAACTAAGATGATTAAAGGCCTGGAGACTAAAACATATGAAGAACGGCTGTAGGACTTGGATTTGGCTAGTCTAAAGAAAAGAAGAAATAGGGGTGACATGATAGCAGTATTCCAGTATTTGAGAGGCTGCCACAAAGAAAAAGGGATCAAATTATTATCCAAAACACCAGAGGGCAGGACAAGAAACAATGGTTGGAAACTGATCAAAGAGAGAAGCAAACTGGAATTAAGGAGAAAGTTCCTAACAGTGAGGACAATTAAGCAGTGGAACAGCTTGCCTTCAGAAATCATGAGCACTCCATCACTGGAGATTTTTAAGAAGAGACTGGACAGTCACTTGTCTGAGATGTTATAGGTTTTCCTGCTTGAGCAGGGGGCTGGACTAGAAGAGCTCTAAGGTTCTATTCTATTCTAATTCTAATTCTATTCTAATTTTATTCAGAATTAGATAAAAGGGATCAATGCATAAATGGTACAGAGGTGGGATCTTCTAATCTATTAACCACTGTCAAAGTGAGATAATCCCCTTGGGGCCTCAAACCAATTGGCCAAGCCAGATATTCAGGCCCTTTTGGAAGGCCAGTAGGGTGGGGGAAGACTTCAACTTGAGGGGGCACAATGTTATCTTCTGGACTCCACCAGCCAAAGTTCTTTGTTGAGATATAAGATAAAATTAGTAGTAAAGTAGTAAAGATAATCTGTAAAAATGGATCACCACCAGTAAAAACACTTACAAAAGCAATAGAAAACTAATCTTGAAGACTATGTCACGTTATAGAGGGGAAAATGGGACTAGGCCCTTGAGTTCTGTTCATGATTTTGGTGCATTTAGTGGCTTTACACTGAAGTTCACACATTATTTTATCATTGCAAAATGATGCCCATCCGTATTCAGCTGTTTATATGTAAGCTTTGCCTGTGGCTAGAAATTCCAGTAATGTGAAATCCTCAGTTATGTGTTGATAGTGATGGTACTGGTAAATAGGAAACCAGATTCTGATGCTATTCATCTCATTCTGGAATTCAGCTGCACTTTTCTGAAAGTATAAATCTAGTCTCAGACACTCCTTGATCTTCAGCTGTCTGTGCATCCCCAGGATGCGGCAACAAGGCCGATATCCAGGGCTTTTTTTGTCATAGAACGCCCAGAACGGAATTCTGGCATTTTGGGGGATGGAACCTTGTAGGGTAGGCAAGGGGGTTGTATAACATGTGTGAGTTCCGTCACCTTTTTTTTTCTTTTTTTACAAAAAAATGCATTGCCTATAGTATAGCTGCTTTGACCATTCCTACATTGGCCAGACTGAATATAACTTGCTTATCTGACTAGTGTATTGAGATTTAATGTGACCACTTAAACATCATCTGGAAGTTTCAATTGTTGCTAAATGTGACAGACGGACCACCAGTGATTCATTTAGCAACTATGGCAAAGAAAGGTTGTAAAATGGGGCAAAATTCACTTAACAAATGTTTTGCTTAGAAATTTTGAGATCAGTTGAGGTTATACATGGAGCACTACCTATATTATGGATTTCTGTTTTGGCATCAGTGTATCAAAGATGTTACCTAGCCTGCTAAAGAAACATTTACAGGAAAACAACCAAGCTCAGAGAACACCAAGAACCCAGCAGCTTTTCCTTTATTTCTTGTAACCCAGCTTGAGTGCCCCTTGAGCAAAACAGCAAGAATAAACTGTAAAAATAAACAAAAGTTGTAGCAAATGCAGATGCAATTGCAGAGAACATGCAAATACAAGGCTTAGGGTGGGTGAACTATTTCTCCACTGTGATTTTTACACAATAGTAGTCTTCTGAGTGTTACTCTGAGTTTTCATAATTACTCTCAACATAACTCTGTAAATAAATTTTCAGGAAAAGGGGGCTGGGTTTTCTAACAAGACTCAAAAGGATGTGAATCTTATTCAAAACACTGACCTGAATCTATTATCTCAAAGTATGAGTTGTCCATTTAATTTTCTACAATTCTTTGCCCTTACTTTCTTTTAAAGCATTCTGCACAAGACATTGGTTATTCACCAGAAGGTATTATCTGGTGCCTTCTGGGAAGGAAAGGACTCTCCCACAGAAATTCATTTTGACTCCAGGAACAATTGTGGCTGAACTACAAACCTCAGCATCTCTCATCATTAGGATATTGCCAATACAGGATGAACTTATTCCACCTTTCCTGGAGCCAGGACTCTAACCCACAGGACTAGAGTGCAGCGTGCAGAATACCTAGTCAGCTTGTTCTGTGGGCAATGCTGGTATATATCATTCCAGCACATTTGGAAAGCGCAAGGTCGGAACCAACTAGCTAGCCTATCCAAAAACTTTGCTATTTGAATAATATTACAATCGACTTTGCATTGTCTTTACTCGTTTAATCTTTCCTTCCCTTCTGTTTTCTGACAATTTACAAAACTTAAGCCACAAAGACCACCACTGCAATTCTTCTTTTGCTTTTAGTAGAAAGGCAAACGTTACCTTTAGTAACATTGATGTTACTTTCAAGCCAGCTTCTCGGCTCCTGCTTCCTGCTTCGATTATTTCAAGCGTCAACAGCTGTAAGGAACAAGGAGCTCCGCCCAGTTCTCACATGATGCATCCCCACAGATCAGATCCCAACTGCCAAAGTTCAGAAGACCACGGCATGGCAGGAAATGGCTGAGGGTTTGCTGTAACTATTTGCTGCCATTTCCCGGTCATTTGGATTTTTGCAGCCCAGATCTAATAGGCAGGTAGCGAAACACTGCGTATCTTAAAAATCGCGTTCTTTGCCTGGGTCTCGTTTCTGCAAATGATTTTGTTCAAACCGTAAATAATATGCGGGAAGGAGACCCCGAACACAAAGGACTTCGGCACTCCCAGCGGCGCACCCACAAACAGCTAAACTCTCGCGGCAATTCTTAAAGCTAGGACCCCGCGAGATTAGAGAAGAAGTTTTTGTTTAACGTAGCTTTTCGCAATATTACTGGTTGGTTAAAGGGAGTAGTATTAAATTTAGGCTGCCAAGGTGGAGTAGTTATGTGGCTTTCTTAGAAGAGCACGCAGCGTTAGACAGCGGCAGAAAGAAAAAGTAGAAATCCTGTACTATTTTTAAAGACTTAAAGATTAAAAAAATTAAAAGACTTCAAAGATTTTTGCGAGTATGTATGTTCGCAATGCACATCATGGCACAATCCAGCTGGTCGCATTTTAGCACAGTGCGTCGTGTGAAATCTGCCCGTGCTATCTGCTTGCTAACACTAGGATTGTGTTCTGGATTTTAAATGACCAGCAGCCATGTGGTGCCTTATTGAAATGAAGACATTAGCCGCTTTGTGTTTGCTACAGCTTTTTAGCACTGAAAAAAATTGCATGGCAATGCACAAAAAAGAGGATAACTGTTTCCTCTCTCATCAGCTGTGGATGAGACAAAAGCTGATCATGACCGCATTTCCTCTAAAACCAGTTATTGAGGTGTCTTCAAGCCATGCTTAACAGGACATAAGAATTTGTCCCAGTAGGTCGCTGAACAACATTTTTGGGAGATGCTCTAGTCTGTATTAGATCACTAGTTTTGTGGTGGAAAACTCTAGACACAAGAAAGGAAAAAGTTCAATTTTTCACCCTCTGCCACCATCTGAATTTTTGCAGATCAGATATACAGTATAACCTGCCTTTTCTCTAGGGCAGTGGTGGCGAACCTATGGCCCGGGTGCCAGAGGTGGCACTCAGAGCCCTCTCTGTGGGCATGCGCGTCGTCACTCCAATCCTAGGCCTTCAGCTGGGTATTATAAAATCTTTTCACTTTAGGCCTCCATGGTCATGTGCAAAAAAAAAGGTTTAATCAATCAGTCAATTTCAATTTCTCATGGGAAAAAAAAGATCTTGCAAAGGTGGAATTGATTGAACTTTTTAGTCCCACCCAGTCTGTCGTTACCACTGCAGCCACGCCTACCCAATGCACCACACCCACCCAATTGGCTACACCCAGCCAATGGGCCACACCCACCCGGCACTCAATGATGCATAAGTGGGTTTTGGGTTGCAGTTTGGGCATTCGGTGTCTAAAAGGTTCGCCATCACTTCTCTAGGGGTTGAAGATAGTACTTGTTATGTCCCGAGCCTTGCAAACGGCTCGGGGCGTTTGCAGGCGGTCCCGGGCAGGTGCAAAGCTGCCCGGGACCAGACAGGCTGTCGCCAGCGTCGTGTGCATGCGCGGGTGCTGGCGCGGGAAAAGTATCGCATTGACCCGGGAAATGTCTATATAAGAAGCTGGGAGGTTTTGGGGGCTGCTGAAGCCATCTACTTGTAAGCTGAACACAGAATAAAGAAAACTGAGAACTACAACTGCTTCTCGTGTCTTACATTTCCGCGAAGGACTCAACACTGGCGACGAGGGTGGGATGCCTTACATCGCCTGGAAAGGAAGAAGTGTAAGCTTACCTAAGTGAGTCCTGAGCGGCGGAACGGTGTCGACTCGGCAGCTACTCGCCAATCCAGTGCGCATTCGGGGGTAGGCTGGCTGATAGACCCGTCTCCTGAAGATGGCAAAGGTTGGAAGGCTTTCGGAGTTCGACGTCTCACATCCAGAGCGGTGGGAGTCCTACATAGCCAGGGTGGAGAACTACTTCAAGGCAAACCAAGTGAGGGAAGAGAGCTTGAAGGCTGCCACCCTGCTTTGTGTTTGCGGTCAAGGCGCCTTCGAAATCGCAGAAAACCTTGCAGCACCTGTTCCAGTAGAGTCTGTCAGCTACGCAGATCTGAAGAAGCTACTGAAGGAGCACTTCCAGCCCAAGATGTCCGTCATTGCATGGCGCCACACCTTCGAGCAGAGGGATCAACGATCCGGTGAGTCGGCCAAAGAATACATCGCCGCATTAAGGAAGGCCGCCAAGCACTGCGAGTTCAAGGACCTCGAAGAACGACTGAGGGACCGATTCGTGTGCGGGTTAAGGCATCGAGATCTACACCAGAGGCTTTTCGCTAAAGAAGAATTGTCCTTCCAAGATGCCTTAAGAGAAGTCACCGCAGAAGAAGCAGCAGGCGGCGCCGTCAAGAACATGCGGCCGATCAGAAACAGTCCAGAGGTTGCATCCATGCACCAGGAAGACGTCCAGGGGAACTCCGAGGAGGATCCGGATGAGGAAGTCGACCGTCTCCACCCCACGAAGGAAGGAAATCAGAAGGGAAGCTCTTCAGCTCCACTCAAGTGCATCGGCTGTGGAGGTCGCCACAGGAGAACCGACTGCAAGTTCCGCTCCACTACCTGCCGGGCATGCGGCAAACAAGGACACATTGCAGCTGTGTGTCTGGGCCGACGAAAGGTACAACCTCAGGAAGAACTGCGCCTGAAAGGTACCAGATTCCCCAGCCAGAATAGGGTAGGGTTTTGCGCTTCGCGAAGAAGCATCCTTAGGACAGGCACACACAAGCCCAGTAAGAAAAAGCTGTCACTCAAGGTGAAGCTACAAGGGGTTCCATTAACTATGGAACTAGACACAGGGTCTGCCCTTTCAATCATCTCCTTCCATACATTTAGGAAGATTTGTTCCGGTAGTGGAACTCAGGTCAAGCTAAGGCCTTCTGACATTGTGTTAACAGATTTTCAAAATTCAAGAGTGTGTGTTAAGGGGGAGGCCACCCTTAACGTGCAATACAAGAGTTTTGAAGGTCCACTAGACTTATTAGTAGTAGGGGGGTGAACGAACGAGTCTCATAGGACTCGATTGGTTTGAGGCCCTGGGGATACACGTCACAGGACTCAACAGTTTACAAACACTCGACCTACAGGAAGTCTGCAAAGAATTTGCAGATTTTTCAGCCCCCAGCTGGGCACATTCAAAGGACCCCCTGTGTCCTTAAAGCTAGACCCCACTGTCACTCCCATTAGAATTAAAGCAAGAAGGTTCCCTTTTGCTTTAAAGAGTAAAATTGACACTGAGTTAGACAAACTGATCCAACAGGGAATTCTAGAACCTGTTGATTCCAGTCCTTGGGAGACCCCCATTGTCACGCCTCTAAAGGCAAATGGGGACATTCGCATTTGTGCTGATTACAAATGCACTCTTAATAAGGCATTGCAGCAACATGCCTATCCTGTTCCTGTGGTCAGTCACATCCTGGCCTCCCTCAAGGGGGGGCGTGTTTTTGCAAAGCTTGACCTAGCTCAAGCATATCAACAGCTGCCTTTTGATGATGATGCTGCTACAGCTCAGACTATTGTGACCCACAGAGGGGCCTTCAAGGTAAAAAGGCTACAGTTTGGAGTGAATGTCGGTCCTGGGATTTTCCAAAGCGTAATGGAAAACACACTACGAGGTATACCAGGGGTTTGCCCTTACTTTGATGATGTCTTGATTGCAGGAGACTCCACACACATTCTAGCTGAAAGGCTCAGGGCTGTTCTGTTAAGATTCAGGAAATCAGGCCTCAAGCTCAAAAAAGACAAATGCAAGATTGGGGTGCCTTCTACTGAATTTCTGGGGTTCAAAATTGATGCTGCTGGGATTCACCCTGCTGAATCCAAACTAACTGCTATTTTAGAAGCACCTAGGCCAAAGTCCAAGGCCGAACTTCAGGCCTTCCTAGGCCTCCTGAATTTCTACAATTCCTTCCTTCCACATAAAACTAGTGTAGCTGAGTCTCTTCACAGGCTACTAGACAAACATGCAGTGTGGCAGTGGTCACAAACGCATGAGGGTTGTTTTAACAAAGTCAAGGCTTTGCTCACTTCTAACAGTGTACTTCCACATTTCAACGAGTCCCTTCCTGTGTGCATCGCTTGTGATGCGTCCCCTTACGGGGTTGGAGCTGTCCTGAGCCACCTCAGGTCTGATGGAACTCAGGTTCCTGTTGCATATTACTCCAGAACATTGTCTTCTGCTGAGCGCAACTACGCTCAGATAGACAGGGAGGCTCTGGCTGTTGTTGCTGGAATTAAAAAATTCCATGATTTTCTATATGGCAGGCATTTCACGGTCTTCACTGACCATAAGCCTCTGCTGGGACTGTTTACCACACGTAAACAAACTCCCCAAATCATTTCCCCTAGAATGCTTAGGTGGTCTATTTTTCTGTCTGCATATGATTTTTTCTTACTCCACAAGCCTGGGAAAGAAATGGGCCATGCTGATGGCCTCAGTAGATTGCCTCTGCCAGTAGTAGAAGCTGACCCTGCGCCAGCTGTCAACATTCTATCAATCCAAGCCTTGCTCGAGCTCCCTCTTTGTGCCAGGGATGTTGCCGCTGAAACAGGTACAGATCACACACTTTCACGTGTCCGTTCCTGGGTTTTGTCTGGTTGGCCTGAGGACTGCCCTAGTCCTGAGTTTCAGAGTTTCTGGTCCAAAAGGAACGAGCTGTCCCTTTCTCAGGGTTGTCTGCTTTGGAGAAACAGAGTTGTCATTCCCACCTCAATGAGGACTAGGGTCTTAGAATCCCTCCACGAGGGTCATCTTGGCATTGTTCGTATGAAGGCTCTTGCGCGCAGCCATTTGTGGTGGCCTGGTTTAGATAAAGATATTGAGGCTAAGGTGCATGCATGCCACCTGTGCCAACGATCTCGCCCAGAGATGCCCCAAGCTCCCGTGCATAGATGGGAGGAAACACCGTCCCCATGGTCTAGGGTGCACATTGACTACGCTGGACCCTTTCAGGGCCAGTTCTTCTTGGTCCTTGTTGACAGCCATTCCAAATGGCTTGAGGTTGTACCTGTCTCATCCACCACCACTGCAAAGACTATTCAGGTACTGAGGGGGATTTTTGCTGCACACGGGCTTCCAGATGTCATTGTGTCTGACAACGGCCCTCAATTCACTTCCTCCTAATTCCAAGCTTTCTTACAGGCTAACATGATTCGTCATGCCACGTCTGCACCCTTCCACCCGTCCACCAACAGTATGGCTGAACGTATGGTGCGCATCACAAAGGACGCCTTGAAAAGACTCACCTACGGGGACTGGCATCACAGGTTGGCTGACTTTCTCCTTTCTTATCGCACCACACCGTCCACTTCTACAGGGAGAAGCCCAGCTGAACTTCGTTGGTGGCGTCAACTTACTACTAAACTTGACCGGTTGCATCCGGACAGATTGCCTTCATCTACCTCACATCCTAGGGCACCTAGACAACTACTTGAGGGTGCCCCGGTCTGGACTCGCAATTACGGGCCTGGTCATACATGGGTCCCCGCTTCTATTTCCAGGGTCACAGGTCCTCTCTCCTACAAGGTAGCCCTGGACAACAGTCGTGTCCTGCGTCGGCACATCGACCAACTCCGCCCTAGGCGGGACCTTTCAGATGAGACTCCTGGGTCTTTTCCAGGGGGGGAGGGGGACCCTTTGGAGCAAAGGGAAGGGCACGAGTTGCTGCCCATCTCCACTGATGGAGCCACTGACGGCCCATTTCAAGCTTCCGCAAGTGCTCCGAAAAGGAATTCATGGAGCTTACCCACACAACAGGCACTCACGCCTACTCCAGCCAGGGAGTCACCCCGGGGGCATACTCACTTTCCACACACATCACACAACACTCCAGTCACGGAGGATACCCGGGAGCATCCCAACAAATCATTCCCCGCAAGAGAGCTGGCACACAATCCCCAGAGTTGGCCTGACCTTACCCCTAATCCTACAGGGGGTCAAACTTACAGGGAGGTGGTCGAGGAACCAAGTCCCGACCGCAACACCTCTAGCCCAAATCAGGGAGTAACTGAGTTTTGGGAAGGTACAGAGACCCACACGAGCCCGGACACAGAACGGGGCTTAGGGATTGGACAGCCTCCTGACAGGTCTTGGACGGACCTAGGAGGTTCTATAGAGACGCCCAGCAGTGGCTATCACTTCAAGGGGCCCGAGGGCCTACAGCTAGGCAGGTCAACCAGGTCACAAAGTGACAGAAGCCCTGGCCTGACGAGCCCGGTGGGCGAGCAAGCAGGCCAGGCATCGGGGCAAAGTCCTTGGAAGGCACCAAGGCATGATAAGGGGAACAGGCTCTTGTCACCCCTCAGTCAGGGAACACCTGTCAGAAACCCAGAGCTGAGAAGGTCACAGAGAGCAAGGAAGTCTCCTAAATACTTAGAAGGATTACATAACATTGCTGGCTAAACAAAAGCCAGGTAACGATAGGAGCACTGAGAAGCAGAACACTGCATAAAATAATGATTATATGTTGGTAGTAGTTTTAGCCCGGGGGAAAGGGGTGTTATGTCCCGAGCCTTGCAAACGGCTCGGGGCGTTTGCAGGCGGTCCCGGGCAGGTGCAAAGCTGCCCGGGACCAGACAGGCTGTCGCCAGCGCCGTGTGCATGCGCGGGTGCTGGCGCGGGAAAAGTATCGCATTGACCCGGGAAATGTCTATATAAGAAGCTGGGAGGTTTTGGGGGCTGCTGAAGCCATCTACTTGTAAGCTGAACGCAGAATAAAGAAAACTAAGAACTACAACTGCTTCTCGTGTCTTACATTTCCGCGAAGGACTCAACAGTACTCACTTAATATTAACACACTGTGGCATAGGTTGAGAGATAGTAATATATGCTATGAATCTGGAAGCCAAGTCCATGTAGCCAATTTTAACTTCGCACATCAGAAAAGTTGCTAACTATTACCATTGACATATATTGCACAAGAACAATGAGTCTGATTCTCTTTCACTTAAATATTGGGAATTAGTAGTATGTGTAGGAAGTCAGCACACAGACACACACCAGAGAATGAAATATTTTGGAGAATATTAAAAAAAGGCAGGATAGAATGTTTCTCCTTAAGAAGAAATGGAGAAAAAAATCTTAACAAAGGCAGAAAGCAGCCCCAGCCTCAAGCAAAAACATGAAGAGACCAGTCTTTAGGAAATCCATTCAGAAAGATTGGGCTATTCTATTCATAAGCAAAGAGCAAACAGAGACTCCAGATAAGCAACACAATTAGGCAAAAGTTGACAAGATTAGCTCAGACAAACACCTAAGATTTGCATTTCCCCTTTTGGCTATAGAGCCAGCCATGACTCCTACATAACTTCATAGGAATCTGGCAACAGCCATTAGAATATTAAAGGACATAGTTCTTGCACAGGAACAGGCATCTCAAATACAAAGCCCAAAGAAGGTATAAAAATCCGTCTACTCTCAACTCCATTTTGTCAGCTGTCCCAGAACTACATGCTGTTGTTGGTTCTGCTCATCAATAAACAGAAACCTTTGCTAAGCAGCCTCTATTTTATTTTCAGCATCTTAGCCCCCATTTTATTTCCACTGTCTTACTCCCAGTTTGGAACTGGACCTGATTTTTCTTTCAACAATGTATTATTTTGATACAAAATGAATAGAGGTGTTTTGGATCTGGCATGACCATCTTCTTTCTACCCTTCTAAAAGCCAACCCTTTTCTGGATATGCAGTAGTTGTATGAGCTGAGTTATATATAATATATTTGTTAGGAAAGTTGGTGGGTGTATGCCAAAGATGCCATGCAGATGCATGGGTGGGCAATGTAGGGTTGAGAAGGGTATGTACAGATGCATGGGAGGTGCTTTGCAAGTCAGAAAGAGCATGAAGAGGGTGGCAGGATTGGGGAAGGGGCATTTGCCTCCCCCTCCCTCCCTCCCTCCCTCCCTCCCTAATGTAAATATTATTCAAATACATATATATTTATTTCTAAATAAGTTTTGACTATTATTCATCTTTAACTTTCTATATTTTGTATAAATGAGTTCCAATTTTATTATTATTGTCCAAAATCTACATCTATAGGCAATCCGCTCATAGGTGGCAAGCAAAATCAGGTGATTGACCCATTCAGTGAATAGAGCCATACATTTTTCTAATGCTGCAATATTAGTCTTTTGGCCATAGTAAGGCACAGAGAATCCATTTATGGTGTCCAGATGTCAAATTCTATGTAATAGGTATGTAATTCAAGAGAATATTATCCTTTGGAAAAATTAATTTTTGTTGAACTGTCGTATTTATATAATCCATTACCTTTTCACAAAATTTAGTAAGTATAGGAGATTGTAAAATCATGTGCTTTAAAGAAGTATTATCCTTAATACATCTGTAACAAAATGATGTCTTAGATTTTTTTCTATTCAAATGTAGTAGAATCCAATACATTCTAAATATTAATTTTTGCAGTAAAGTCATAGTATAAGGTCTACAGACACTCTTGATATGGAAGTTAACACACTTTCCCCTAGACAATATAGGAAACTCTACCAAAACTGTACCATATGTTTGTGTGTTCACCATTATTCTTGGAATGCTGTTATCCCGCTAAGTTTGCCCATTGGCCTTGATATTCTACTGCATATGCTGGGAATTTACTGGGATTTGTGCTTTCAGCATCAATTTTGTTTACAAGAATAAGTTCAGTAGAAATGATACATGGCTACAGTCCAAAGATATTTGCTAAATCTTGTTAAAAATATCTACCTGTCCTGGAAAAAGAGAGTCGGGAGATGGACAAGCAAATGATCTGCAACATTCTCACCAGTTTTCATTCTGATAAATGTCTGCCTTGTGACTAGCTACATTTGGCAGTGCAAACATTTATGGTCAGGTAAAATTTCCCCTGGCATTTTTCTCCTTTCAAAATTTCCATTTGCCCATTGCCTCCTCTCCTCCCGATTATTTATTTTTCATTTAATTAAATATTACATTGTTTTCTAGTTATCCTTGCCTCTGTTCTGTTCCTCTCCTCTGCTGCTTCTCTCTATTGATAATTTTAAAATTGTAAGTATTTTGGGACACTGATATTCAATAAATTCATTAAAGTTAATCTGATCTGTCTCAGGAAATATGCTTAATTTTGTAGCCACAAATTGTAATAATATTTCAGTTGTTTTTCTTTTGTAGTAAAGATGATGGTGTTAAACCATTCTGATTTTGTTCACTAGGGGGCCCTCAAAACTTACATAGATTTAGTGTTCTGTTTTAGAAGCCAGACATTAGGCTAGGCTTTCCCATTCCAGAAATTAAAATAGCTCAAAAGAAATGAAAAGTTCATATAAGTTTGTGGCAGTCAACTAGGAACACCCATCTGGGATGATCAGAATATGTAGAAGGAATATGGAACTGGACTGAGGTTTCTCAAACAGAACTTTCTTGTTAAATGAACTGCATGCATCAGGATTTTGAAATAGAACACAGGAAAACATCAAAAACTTGTTTATTGTTTTTTAATATTTTATTCAGTTTTAATAAAAGTATTATCCAATTAGTGGATATTTTTTTCCTTCAAAAAAAATGGACGTCCTTTACATTCTAAAGGTTTTGCTAGTATTCATTACTGCTAGAATTTTTGAGCTAAGATTTGGGCCAACTCTGTCGGTAAGGTTATTCTAAGCTTTATTTTAATAATAGTTATTATAAGTAAAAGATTTGTTTCACATGCTGAGTTTTTGTAGCACCAGAAAATTATGTTCATTTATAAGATTTATAAATTTTTACACATGTGCTATGTGAACACATCAATGTAATATTTTTAGAATTAGGAGGATGCATTCAGAATAGAATATGCACATGTATATAATTTACTCATGCAATTGTTTATATTTGTTGTTTGCAATGTAATGTTATATTTAAAAAATCTAGCCATTGAAAAAAGGAAGAATTTTTGCTTTATAAAAAAACGAATGCCTAAATGAATGTCAACCCAAGAATGTACATCTTTTTACCTGACTAGTAGGTTCTCCTTTAGTTAAATATTATATAATTATAAAGTTAATTTTTCTACATAGTCCTTCACTGATTAATGAAATATTTTCATGTTGACTAGAAGCAATACAGTGAGTGATTTCTATATACTGTATCTTCCTTGCCACTGGCATAGGAAAAAGATATACCAACTATCAATTTGTAAAAAAATTGCCTTTTTCTGAATGTTGTTAGTAATATGACAGAAATTTCTCCTACGTTTGAAGGTTATTTTTATAGTTTTATATTAATTTGACATACAGAACATGAAGTTCCAACCTTTTCTTCCTTTGGGGAATGTATTCTTTAAATGAAGAGATATACATGGTTTAAAAATAACCATGATGACTGTAAAATGATATTTATCATTCTTTCCCCTCTAATAGTTCAGCAGCCCAGAAGGGACTCCCAGACTTTTCATACTGTGACTCAGTTAACTCTGTTTATACAGCCGACTCCATTCATTCACTGAACCCAATCACACCCTCCGAGGTGGCCGAAAGATTTTAACAGCTTGTCAGGGTATGCTGTCAGATTCATTAGAACTGAACATTTACAATTGTTTGGCATTTTCAATGTGTATATGCATAGAGACACACATACACATAACAGCTGGAAAAAGAGGTGGAGACATCTGGTCATTTAGAAGGCATGCAGCATCATCGTAGCTGGCGACCAGTGGATTCTTAAACTACTTTCATCATGTTGATTCACTGGAGAAATGAGCTTCCTGATTCAGACATGCCAAATTATCTACTGGCTCTTTTGTTCTCTGCGCTCACCTCGGCTGCTTTGGAGTGGCAAATGCTCAAGGATCAGAAGGAATTTGCTATTGGGCATTGCTTTTGTGATATATTTGGGTTTCCTTGTCAGTCAAGTAGGTCGTGTTGTACCACAAAATAGAAAAGGACTATTAAAAGCAAAATCTTGGAGTCTTCAAGATGTTGCTCAGCCTCATTTTTCTGAAATCCCAATGGATGGTACCTGGACATTTTCTGACCTTGAAAAATCTCAGATGGGGACAAATAACACATCAATGTTGCCTAATGTGGTATATATCACTTTGCGGTCCAAGAGAAGGAAACCTGCCAGGATTCGAGGCACTGTGAGGCCCAAGCAAAGAAAGAAGCAAGTATTGCCTTTGCAGTATGGGAATAAGAACTCGCTGGATGGCACAATCCAACGTAAGTCATTTTATGGCAAATCTATGAACAAGAGGAAAGGAACAGTAGTTCCAGAGAAAGCTCAGCAGAAACAACAGCAGAAAGAAAAACAAATGGCTCAAAATATAAAGCATTGGAGACCTGAAATAATTATAAGAGGCCTAAATGTTCAAACTAATGTTCAGGAGAGCAATATCAGGATGTACAGTGAGAGTCCACCATCTTGGCTGAGTAAAGAGGATATCCTAAGTATGCGTTATATGGCAGATTCCAAAATAAATAGTATCCAAGAAGTGCCTTCTCAACATGGAATACTTCTGGTATTTGGGAGAACAGAGCTTGATAATAAGTCAGTCAAAGAAGACATATGTAGCCAAGGTCACTGTGGCATCATCAAGAGACCACTTGACATGAGTGAAGTGTTTGCTTTCCATTTGGACAGGATCCTAAGGCTCAATCGGACTTTGCCTACCATAAGCAGAAAATTGGAATTTTTACAAGGTAATTAATTTACTCACTGCATTGGAAAATGGAACATTCTCTCTTAGAGTAAACTTTTACCCTTTAGTAGCATCAAGAAATAAATGTTATTAAATGCTCAACAGCAGAAGGTGGTAATTTGATGCCTTCCAGATTTTTGACTGATTCTATTCAACCTCAGTGAGTATATCATATGGCAAGAGCTGTGGGAGTTACTGTCCAAAACATCTGGAAGGATTCAGATTGCCTGTATCTACTGCCCAGTCAAATTACAGTATAAATTGCTTGAGTAACCAAAATTTCAAATATTCAACTAAATTAATTTTCTTAATTTATCAAATTTCATACTATGATTACAGTGTTGAGTGGGTGGGTGATATGTTTTATCCATATCAAATATGAAAATTCATGTATTATAAGAAAGGAAAATTGTTCAGGAGAGCATGGAGTTCTCAGATTACATTAACATTCTGGATGCAAAATTTGGTTTAGCAAGAAAAGTATGGGCCAGATATTGCTGCCATGGCATATATGTCATCTAATATTTTAGCTATGTAGTCTCTATCACATGTGAGATTTTTGCAAAAGTGCAGAATAAATCAGTGCTCTTAACAGAGATTGCCAAACAACTTTACCTAATGATTTGTATGCCAATTTTAATTGCAATAATACAGTGCAATTCTACTTCAAACAGCCCATGGTGATTTGACAAAGTCAAGAATGCAATGAAACACTTGTTCTTTTTCAGTGCCTTTATACTTTTATTTTTTTATTTAAAAAACAACCAAGAATGTACAGTGTGGGGATTTTGTATCATAGTCAGATATTATGAACCATAATTTTGGTGGATTCTGGTTGTCTATACCAATGAATTTATTTCTAGAAAAAAATAGTTTCAATAAGATTTTATAATGTAATTATGAATTTGTTTCTCACCTTTTAAACTTATGTCCCACTAAGATAATATAACATGCATTGCCTAATAAGCACTAAACTTAAAACTGACCTAACTTGTGCACATTCAATTTTTAAATCTCAAAATGAATGCCCTTTTCATATTCCATTTTATTGCTGAACTATGACTTCAACTGAAGCAATAGTCATAATATAATTATATCAGAGAAGGCTGCAGTACATTTGCTTGAAAGAGTCCGAAAATAGTTCTCCATTTCTGTACTGATTCTTTCCTAATATGGTCACAGTGCTATTTTATGTAAAATTTCTAATCAGTGTGTGTTTTATTAAAGGCAAAGAAAACTAGGAGAAATTGACTAGAAAAACAATCCTATAAGCAAATATAAAAGTAGTCTATGTTTTAATGGGTCTCTGTACTGAAAATGTCAATAGTCTGAGTGATTTCTTAATAGCTTTTAAGAAAAATCAGACTCTAAAAGTACAGAAGTCACATTATACATCTGTTATTTTTAGGGAAGGGTTTTACTGGTGCGAAGCTGGTAAAAGAGAATGTAGTTTGGACTTCAGGGTCCAGGATAGAGAATCATGGTCTGAGGCCCTCTGTAAATTGCTCTTTGAGTAATCATATTAGCAGTTGTTTTTTTGGATGCATTATCATTTATGATTGTCAAGAAGTAAAAAGGACAATTCAGCCTTTTTCATTCTCTACAGAGATAGAGAACTGTTGCTAGGTGATGATGTGCAAGAGGAAAAGCGGCAGTTTTCCTTTTTGTTATTTCATTTATTATTTATATATTTATCAAATTTCTATACTGTCCATCTTATGTAAAATGATTTTGGGTGGTTTATAAATAAAAATTCATAAATTTCTTGTTACGATGTGTCTTAACTATAAATAACATTAAAATGGGAAACCCACTTTACTGTTTTGGATCTTAAAATCCAATCTGAGTTAGTTATGCTATGCAAAATAAAGGTAAAGGTTTCCCTGTGTCTGACTCTAGGAGGCAGTCTTCATCTCTGTTTCTTAGCTGAGGGAGCCAACATTGACTGAAGATCCTTCTGTAGTCATGTGGTCAGCCTGACTATATGCCAAGGCACCCAGAACACCATTACCTTCCCACTGAAGTGGTACCTAGTTATCTACTTGCATTTGCATGCTTTCCAACTGCTAGGTAGGCAGGAACTGGGAAAATAATGGCAAAATATGTCAGGACAAATTAATGGCAACTCTTGGAAGATTTCATTTCTTATAATGAGCATGGACAAATCTCCCAATCTGTTTGGGGTTTTATAGTCTATCTCTAATTTGTCAATCTTATGCCATTGTGGTTATTTATGTGACAAGTTAGAGATAAATCTATTAATAGGATTAATTTTGTACACTTTTATTTATGAATGTGCTATTTATTTATCTAGATATTTTTATCTGTATATCTCTAAGATAAAAATTTATTCAGAAAGCCAGACTGAATGAGAATATTAGCTACTTTAATAAATAAATCCACAATTGCCTAATGTTCTATGGATCTCTTTTATTTTCATTTTAAATGTTGTGATTTTATCGGAATAAATGTGGTTTATTAATTTACTTTATAAACCTCTCTTATTCACAGGATCAAATTCAAAATGACAAAAATCAAAATAAAGCAATTACCATTATATAAAGTAATAAACATGACAACCATATTAAAATCCAGCATCTTTAAAACCAGCAGCAGCCAATATAAATAAAGCTTGGAACTAACACCTCAATGTGCTATTAACCTATCTCTATATAGAAAGGATACAGAAAGATAAACATGCTGTCATATTACCCTTTCACACAGTAAGCATCTTAAAGATATCACTCATTTTGTGGAAGCCTCCCTTAAGATAACTTGAGCTTACACCTTTTGTTTCCTGTCTGACATTCTCATCATGTTTGACTTGCTAATAAAATGTTTTGGTTTGTCACTGACTAAATGAATAGTGAACTTATTAAATCACCAAATTATTTCACTTTGTCCTGTGACATAGCTGCTTTAATCACAAAGAAAAGCTAAGTCCCAACAATGTTTTTTTCTAAGATTCATTATTGTTGACAGATCAAAATTTATAAAGGCTTGGAGATGAGAAGGGGAAGAAATATTCTGCAGTTCTGACTTTCAAAGCTATTTATAATATTTATTTCAAATTTGAGAATTGTGTCCTTAGGGCAACATCTGGTATTGGCTGAATGAATATCTTCCTTTTCAAAAGAGGCCAAACAGAACAAACCAGGCTTTAATAAACTAGTTGTAGCAAGCACAATGGGAATAGGGAATGTGGTTGTTGGGACTTCAGGTCATAAGCATGATTGTCCCAATTTAATTAAAAATAAACTCTTAAAAACAAAATGTTGTTAAATATTTAAATCTCACAATATTTCTGTTGTTTTATATAGAGATGCTTGGTAAGAATGCTGAAATCCAGTTTTAGTATTCTCAGATGAGGCATAAGGCATATCCACACTTAACCATTAGATGCTCCCATCCTGTGTTTGTGGCAGATTATATACCTCTAAATCAAAGAATGCCAAGAGTATGTAAAGTATTCTGAACTGCAGGCTATCAGATCCTTTGTTTAGGATCTCTGACCTTGGCAATCACTTTCCTTCCTATGAGCAGGTCTTCTGGAGGTACGTATTTATGCACGCTATACGCATGCACCCATACATGCACATTTCGAACTATTTCGAACTATTTTGACACAGACAGAACTAGAAACTCAACTAATTATCATGTTCCCTATGTGCTGGGTAAGCAGCAGGAAGAACAAGAAACATGTTTATAGTGTTGCAGCCTGCACCCTTGAAAGGTTACATCAGTTTAATTAATATAAGGGGTAATGAAAAACTTTATTATGTCTCCAATATTATTTTGTGCCATTCATCAGAACCAATAATTTTGTTCAATTTGCCAAAGAAATGTTAGTACTAATAACCGTGTTTGAAAAACCTTTTAAATTTGTAATATGTTAGTGCAATCTTTTGAGTTTTTCTTCTCACATGTCTTAATATTAGTGAAATCATTTGCTTAGCCACAGCTTTAATATAATTGCTTTGTTCAGTGATGATAAACAAGAGTTTTGTTTAATGAACCTCAGTCTTCAGGCCTAATTTACAATATTGTCATGGTGTTCTAAAAGCTGTATCAAAACCTGCCTTGCAAATTTTCAAAAAAGTTCTTCCTCTGTGAAAGAAGTTTTTGATTTTCTGGTTTAATCTTAGATGAGAATATTTACAAGCATCCTTTACTTTGTACTAAATAAGAGCAAAATCACATTCTTATTTTGAGAATTTCATCTAATTCTCTTCTTCTTTGAAAGAAAAATTGAAAGCAACTTTTTAGTCATCAAACTAATAATTGATGAGAAAAAATTCAGAAGATAGTCACAGAAATTTGTAGGGGGCACAAATGATGAAATGTGCATTGTGATTTCATAATGCAAATTCTACTTTTTACATATTTCTTGCAATGTCATTTCATGTATAAATGTACCGTGCACTGTGATACATAGTTTGTCATTGTGGGTGGGAACAGATGCCACCAGGGATATTTTTCCTGGTTGGCACTGTTATATTCATTAATTAGTTTTCTCTGTATTTTTCCACTTATTTAGTTTAATGCACTGGCATGCCCACACCAATGCCTCTTAGAATCATGCCAGAATGAGGGGCATCTACAATGGGCAGAGGCAAGAAGACAATAAGATTAAAATACCACTTCTTTGGGCCAATGTTATACAAAGAGGCATCTTGCTCCCATTGGCTCCCTGTTGCAAAAGGCACTTTCTCTCACTTCAGTTGTGCTGACTTTATTCAATAATAATAATAATAATAATAATAATAATAATAATAATAATAGTAATAATGATGATGGAGACAGCAGAATAGACGAGAAAGAACTGGAGAAGATAATAAAATACAAAGATCTACAAATAGAAATATAAAGACTGTGGCAAAAGCAAGCAAGGGTAGTACCAATAGTAATAGGCTCCTTGGGTGCAATCCCAAAACAACTGGAGCACCACTTGAACACCATTGGCACTGACAAATTTGCTATTAGTCTATTGCAAAAGGCGGC